TCATCAGGAAATGTGGACCTGAAAACGGCCATAGTAGTGAAGGTGTCACAACCCCAGAAATACTGCGCGTCAGTAATGACATTTTAAAAGAAAAATTATACATAGAGGTATCAGAAACATATGGTAAATATTGTAAACATGGACATATTGTAAATATTGTAAACAGACATATGGTAAACATAGACATATTGTAAATATTGTAAACATAGTCATATTGTAAACACAGACATACTGTAAATATTGCAAACGTAGACATATTGTAAATATTGTAGACACAGACATATTGTAAACATAGACATTGTAAATATTCTAAACATAGACACACTGAAATTTCGTAAACACAGACATATTGTAAATGTCTTTTTTATAAATATTAATTGCAGTTGTATTATTATTAATAATTGAGCCAGACAACACCTGGGATCTGAACTAGTTCACACCGAGGTGTGGGATAGGCCTAAGCTGCGATGCCCTTTTGGATCAGGCCTAAAAAGGAATGGATTATAAGGCGTGAGGGGGGATGGGGGGGGCAGATAAGGTTCGTGGAAGGTTAGATTAAGAGGTAAAGACATTCCAACAGACACTCGAGTCCTAACGAAGCTGTCTGTTTACCGGGACAATATGGCGGCTACACAGATAATTCAAGCCACAGTTTGGAAGAAAATATTATTGGTTCAAATTTGTTTAACAAATCTTAGGTCAAATATATATGATTTTATTTGAATTCAGAAACATACGACATGTGTAAACGCAGATAAACAATTCACAACCCTACGACGCACAGGTAAACAATTCACAACCCTACGACGCACAGATAAACAATTCACAACCCTACGACGCACAGGTAAACAATTCACAACCCTACGACGCACAGGCAAACAATTCACAACCATACGACGCACAGATAAACAATTCACAACCCTACGACGCACAGATAAACAATTCACAACCCTACGACGCACAGATAAACAATTCACAACCATACGACGCACAGATAAACAATTCACAACCATACGACGCACAGGTAAACAATTCACAACCATACGACGCACAGGTAAACAATTCACAACCATACGACGCACAGATAAACAATTCACAACCATACGACGCACAGGTAAACAATTCACAACCATACGACGCACAGATAAACAATTCACCACCATACGAAACACAGGTAAACAATTCACAACCATACGAAACACAGGTAAACAATTCACAACCATACGAAACACAGGTAAACAATTCACAACCATACGAAACACAGGTAAACAATTCACAACCATACGAAACACAGGTAAACAATTCACAACCATACGAAACACAGGTAAACAATTCACAACCATACGAAACACAGGTAAACAATTCACAACCATACGAAACACAGGTAAACAATTCACAACCATACGACGCACAGATAAACAATTCACAACCCTACGACGCACAGATAAACAATTCACAACCATACGACGCACAGATAAACAATTCACAACCATACGACGCACAGGTAAACAATTCACAACCATACGACGCACAGATAAACAATTCACAACCATACGACGCACAGATAAACAATTCACCACCATACGAAACACAGGTAAACAATTCACAACCATACGAAACACAGGTAAACAATTCACAACCATACGAAACACAGGTAAACAATTCACAACCATACGAAACACAGGTAAACAATTCACAACCATACGAAACACAGGTAAACAATTCACAACCATACGAAACACAGGTAAACAATTCACAACCATACGAAACACAGGTAAACAACTCCACATGTTAACCATACTTATAAGCCGTTGTTCCGTGTACTTGTTTGGTTCCATGAGAGGGAAGTACATGTGGGAGCGATGACCAGAGGCTGAGGACGCGTGTGTGTGGGGGCTGGGCAGCCTCCATGCTGGACAACCCGTGGTCGGGTATTACGAGATATTGCAATGAAAATTAATTCGGATGAAACGGAGGGTTTGGATTAGGCTTGAAACAGTAGAGTTCGGTAATGTCTTTGAATAATTGCTTTAGATAATTTATCTTTAGATCAGATAAATTTAGAATAGAACCCAGTGAAGAGCAGGGGTGCCATAGGCACAATCAGAGAACACTATGAACATCAGAGGTCCGCGGTTGTTCAACGTCCTCCCAGCGAGTATATGAAATATTGCCGGAACAACCGTGGACATCTTCAAGAGGAAACTAGATAGTTTTCTCCAAGGAGTACCGGACCATCCGGGCTGTGGTGGGTATGTGGGCCCGCGGGCCGCTCCAAGCAGACCAAACTCTCACGAGTCGAGCCTGGCCTCGGGCCGGGCTTGGGGAGTAGAAGAACTCCCAGAACCCCATCAACCAGGTATCAAGCAGTGGGTGGAGGTGAGGCATAGGTTGGGGTGAGGCAAAGGGTGGGGGTCGGGCTATTACATTGTGGAAATTAGAGCCACCAGATATAACACGGTAGAGATAACACTGCATGTTATTAACCCGGGAATGTAACGAGGGTGTTACGCTTGACGCAAACCGCTTATCTGTCTTGCTTCCCCCAGAAATTTCTCCGCTTTCTTTCAAGCAGTTTTCCATTTTCTGTGCAAGAACAAAAAACTCGCGCTTAAAATGGGGGGAACTTATTTATTAAATATAAAATAAATTTATAAATATTACATTTGTAAGTAACTATTATAAACGTAAATATTTAAATGTATAAATAAATATATATGTATAAGTATTACATAAGTATATAAGTATTACATAAGTATAAATGTATGAGTCAGAGTTGCTTGAGGAAGTTGAGTGGAACTGGCTCTTGAAGCAAATAGATTTGCTAATCTTTCTGCTTCTTGCTCTGGATGAACATAGTGCGGCGGAGCAGGAGGCGATTTTCCTTTGGCCTTGTTGATCTGCCTCCAGATGTCGCCCAAGGATGTATGCTGATTTAGCTTGGCACACCACTCGAGCCATTTTTCTTCTGATTTTTGCTGTTTCTTCGTGCACATGATCTCGGACATCTCTAAGAAGTCCTACATTAGCTTCGGTTCTATCTCTTCTAAAATTCTTTCGTGCACAATTTAGTCTGTTATGTAGTTCTTTGATCCTATCACAGTAATACCAACGGTCGTTATGTTGTTGGGTAATTGTTTTCCTCTTGGGGGATGGCGTGATTTGACGTGACAAAGTGGTCACTTGTCAGCACATGGTCAACCACAGCCTTGTAAATGTGTGGCCACGTCTGTGGTAGAAAATAATAATAATAAAAAAAACAGCCTGGGAACAGGGTGTCCCTTATATCTAATACTGGTACAACGTTTGGTATAGGCGTATGGGGTGGGGGGTGTCAGGTGGGCTGGTGTAGGCGTATGGGGTGGGGGTTAGGTGGGCTGGTGTAGGCGTATGGGGTGGGGGTTAGGTGGGCTGGTGTAGGCGTATGGGGTGGGGGTTAGGTGGGCTGGTGTAGGCGTATGGGGTGGGGGGTCAGGTGGGCTGGTGTAGGCGTATGGGGTGGGGGTTAGGTGGGCTGGTGTAGGCGTATGGGGTGGGGGGTCAGGTGGGCTGGTGTAGGCGTATGGGGTGGGGGTTAGGTGGGCTGGTGTAGGCGTATGGGGTGGGGGTTAGGTGGGCTGGTGTAGGCGTATGGGGTGGGGGTCAGGTGGGCTGGTGTAGGCGTATGGGGTGGAGGTTAGGTGGGCTGGTGTAGGCGTATGGGGTGGGGGTCAGGTGGGCTGGTGTAGGCGTATGGGGTGGGGGTTAGGTGGGCTGGTGTAGGCGTATGGGGTGGGGGTTAGGTGGGCTGGTGTAGGCGTATGGGGTGGGGGGTCAGGTGGGCTGGTGTAGGCGTATGGGGTGGGGGTTAGGTGGGCTGGTGTAGGCGTATGGGGTGGGGGGTCAGGTGGGCTGGTGTAGGCGTATGGGGTGGGGGTTAGGTGGGCTGGTGTAGGCGTATGGGGTGGGGGTCAGGTGGGCTGGTGTAGGCGTATGGGGTGGGGGTTAGGTGGGCTGGTGTAGGCGTATGGGGTGGGGGTTAGGTGGGCTGGTGTAGGCGTATGGGGTGGGGGGTCAGGTGGGCTGGTGTAGGCGTATGGGGTGGGGGTCAGGTGGGCTGGTGTAGGCGTATGGGGTGGGGGTTAGGTGGGCTGGTGTAGGCGTATGGGGTGGGGGTTAGGTGGGCTGGTGTAGGCGTATGGGGTGGGGGTTAGGTGGGCTGGTGTAAGCGTATGGGGTGGGGGTTAGGTGGGCTGGTGTAGGCGTATGGGGTGGGGGTTAGGTGGGCTGGTGTAGGCGTATGGGGTGGGGGTTAGGTGGGCTGGTGTAGGCGTATGGGGTGGGGGTTAGGTGGGCTGGTGTAGGCGTATGGGGTGGGGGTTAGGTGGGCTGGTGTAGGCGTATGGGGTGGGGGTTAGGTGGGCTGGTGTAGGCGTATGGGGTGGGGGTCAGGTGGGCTGGTGTAGGCGTATGGGGTGGGGGTTAGGTGGGCTGGTGTAGGCGTATGGGGTGGGGGTTAGGTGGGCTGGTGTAGGCGTATGGGGTGGGGGTTAGGTGGGCTGGTGTAGGCGTATGGGGTGGGGATTAGGTGGGCTGGTGTAGGCGTATGGGGTGGGGGTCAGGTGGGCTGGTGTAGGCGTATGGGGTGGGGGTTAGGTGGGCTGGTGTAGGCGTATGGGGTGGGGGTCAGGTGGGCTGGTGTAGGCGTATGGGGTGGGGGTCAGGTGGGCTGGTGTAGGCGTATGGGGTGGGGGTTAGGTGGGCTGGTGTAGGCGTATGGAAGGCTGTGATGGTATTAGTTGTGTGATTTATATAATTTGTTTAATTCATAGCGCCAGTTCATGTCCGTGAGCTCTGCTGCATGTTCCCTGGTGAGGGAAGTGTGAGGAAACATATGTTAAATAGTTAGCATTTTGTTTAAACAATGATTGCGAAACGTCGAAAAATCGTCGTCTCTTAAATTTCTAGTGTGTAGTTCGGTCAAAAACTATTGTGACTCTGACAGGTGTTTTATTTTGCAGGTGTGTGTGGCGGGGCTTGTTGCTCTCCTCGCTGCTAGCTGCTACCCTGGTGAGTATTGTCTCCTACACCCCCGTGTCTCCTACACCCCCGTGTCTCCTACACCCCCGTGTCTCCTACACCCCCGTGTCTCCTACACCCCCGTGTCTCCTACACCCCCGTGTCTCCTACACCCCCGTGTCTCCTACACCCCCGTGTCTCCTACACCCCCGTGTCTCCTACTCCCCTGTGTCTCCTACACCCCCGTGTCTCCTACACCCCCGTGTCTCCTACACCCCCGTGTCTCCTACATCCCCCGTGTCTCTTACACCCCTCGTGTCTCTTACACCCCCCGTATCTCCTACACCCCTGTGTCTCCTACACCCCCCGTGTGTCCTACACCCCTCGTGTGTCCTACACCCCCCGTGTCTCCTACACCCCTCGTGTCTTACACCCCTCGTGTCTCTTACACCCCCCGTGTCTCCTACACCCCCCGTGTCTCCTACACCCCCGTGTCTCCTACACCCCCGTGTCTCCTACACCCCCGTGTCTCCTACACCCCCCGTGTCTCCTACACCCCCGTGTCTCCTACACCCCCCGTGTCTCCTACATCCCCCGTGTCTCTTACACCCCTCGTGTCTCTTACACCCCCCGTATCTCCTACACCCCTGTGTCTCCTACACCCCCCGTGTGTCCTACACCCCCCGTGTCTCTTACACCCCTCGTGTCTTACACCCCTCGTGTCTCTTACACCCCCCGTGTCTCCTACACCCCCCCGTGTCTCCTACACCCCCGTGTCTCCTACACCCCCGTGTCTCCTACACCCCCCGTGTCTCCTACACCCCCCGTATCTCCTACACCCCTGTGTCTCCTACACCCCCCGTGTCTCCTACACACCCCCGTGTCTCCTACACCCTCGTGTCTCCTACATCCCTGTGTCTCCTACACCCCCCCGAGTCTCCTACACACCCCCGTGTCTCCTACACACCCCCGTGTCTCCTACACCCCCGTGTCTCCTACACCCCGTGTCTCCTACACCCCCCGTGTCTCCTACACACCCCCGTGTCTCCTACACCCCCGTGTCTCCTACACCCCCGTGTCTCCTACACCCCCCGGGTGTCTCCTACACCCCCCGTGTCTCCTTCACACCCCGTGTCTCCTACACCCCGTGTCTCCTACACCCCCCGTGTCTCCTATGCCACCGTGTCTCCTACACCCCCCGTGTCTCCTACACCCCTCGTGTCTCCTACAGCCCCCGTGTCTCCTATACCCTCCGTGTCTCCTACACCCCCCGTGTCTCCTACACCCCCCCGTGTCTCCTACACCCCCCGTGTCTCCTACCCCCCGTGTCTCCTACACCCCCCGTGTCTCCTACACCCCCCGTGTCTCCTACACCCCTCGTGTCTCCTACACCCCCCGTGTCTCCTACACCCCCCGTGTCTCCTACACCCCCGTGTCTCTTACACCCCCGTGTCTCCTACACCCCCCCGTGTCTCCTACACCCCCCGTGTCTCCTACACCCCCCGTGTCTCCTACATCCCCGTGTCTCCTACACCCCCCGTGTCTCCTACACCCCCGTGTCTCCTACACCCCCGTGTCTCCTACACCCCCGTGTCTCCTACACCCCCGTGTCTCCTACACCCCCCGTGTCCCCTACACCCCCCGTGTCTCTTACACCCCCCGTGTCTCCTACACACCCCTGTGTCTCCTACACCCCCGTGTCTCCTACACCCCTGTGTCTCCTACACCCCCCGTGTCTCCTACACCCCCCGTATCTCCTACACCCCTGTGTCTCCTACACCCCCCGTGTCTCCTACACACCCCTGTGTCTCCTACACCCCCGTGTCTCCTACATCCCTGTGTCTCCTACACCTCCCGTGTCTCCTACACACCCCCGTGTCTCCTACACACCCCCTTGTCTCCTACACCCCCGTGTCTCCTACACCTCGTGTCTCCTACACCCCCCGTGTCTCCTACACAACCCCGTGTCTCCTACACCCCCGTGTCTCCTACACCCCCGTGTCTCCTACCCCCCGTGTCTCCTACACCCCCCGTGTGTCCTACACCCCCCGTGTCTCCTACACCCCTCGTGTCTCCTACACCCCCGTGTCTCCTACACCCCCCGTGTCTCCTACACCCCCGTGTCTCTTACACCCCCGTGTCTCCTACACCCCCCGTGTCTCCTACACCCCTCGTGTCTCCTACACCCCCCGTGTCTCCTACACCCCCCGTGTCTCCTACACCCCCGTGTCTCTTACACCCCCGTGTCTCCTACATCCCCCGTGTCTCTTACACCCCCGTGTCTCCTACACCCCCGTGTCTCCTACACCCCCGTGTCTCTTACACCCCCCGTATCTCCTACAACCCTGTGTCTCCTACACCCCCCGTGTCTTACACCCCTCGTGTCTCTTACACCCCCCGTGTCTCCTACACCCCCCCGTGTCTCCTACACCCCCGTGTCTCCTACACCCCCCGTGTCTCCTACACCCCCGTTTCTCCTACACCCCCGTGTCTCCTACACCCCCCGTATCTCCTACACCCCTGTGTCTCCTACACCCCCCGTGTCTCCTACACTCCCCCGTGTCTCCTACACCCCCGTGTCTCCTACACCCCCGTGTCTCCTACACCCCCGTGTCTCCTACACCCCCGTGTCTCCTACACCCCCCGTGTCTCCTACACCCCCCGTGTCTCCTACACCCCCCGTGTCTCCTTCACCCCCCGTGTCTCCTACACCCCCGTGTCTCCTACACCCCCCGTGTCTCCTATGCCACCGTGTCTCCTGCACCCCCCGTGTCTCCTACACCCCCCGTGTCTCCTATACTCCCCGTGTCTCCTACACCCCTCGTGTCTCCTACACCCCGCGTGTCTCCTATACCCCCCGTGTCTCCTACACCCCTCGTGTCTCCTACACCCCCCGTGTCTCATACACCCCCGTGTCTCCTACACCACCGTGTCTCCTACACCCCCGTGTCTCCTATACCCCCGTGTCTCCTACACCCCCCGTGTCTCCTACACCCCCCGTGTCTCCTACCCCCCGTGTCTCCTTCACCCCCCGTGTGTCCTACACCCCCCGTGTCTCCTACCCCCCGTGTCTCCTACACCCCCGTGTGTCCTACACCCCCCGTGTCTCCTACACCCCTCGTGTCTCCTACACCCCCCGTGTCTCCTACACCCTGTGTCTCCTACACCCCCCGTGTCTCCTATACCCCCCGCGTCTCCTACACCCCCCGTGTCTCCTACAACCCTGTGTCTCCTACACCCCCCGTGTCTTACACTCCTCGTGTCTCCTACACCCCCCGTGTCTCCTACACCCCCCCGTGTCTCCTACAACCCCCCCCCGTGTCTCCTACACCCCCGTGTCTCCTACACCCTCCGTGTCTCCTGCACACCCCCGTGTCTCCTACACACCCCCGTGTCTCCTACACCCCCGTGTCTCCTACACCCCTCGTGTCTCCTACACCCCCCCGTGTCTCCTACACCCCCGTGTCTTCTACACCCCCCGTGTCTCCTACCCCCCATGTCTCCTACACCCCCCGTGTCTCCTTCACACCCCGTGTCTCCTACACCCCGTGTCTCCTACACCCCCCGTGTCTCCTATGCCACCGTGTCTCCTACACCCCCCGTGTCTCCTACACCCCCCGTGTCTCCTACACCCCCCCGTGTCTCCTACACCCCCGTGTCTCCTACACCCCCGTGTCTCCTACACCCCCGTGTCTCCTACACCCCCGTGTCTCCTACACCCCCGTGTCTCCTATACCCCCCGTGTCTCCTATACCCCCCGTGTCTCCTACACCCCCCGTGTCTCCTACACCCCTCGTGTCTCCTACACCCCTCGTGTCTCCTACACCCCCGTGTCTCCTACACCCCCCGTGTCTCCTACACCCCCGTGTCTCTTACACCCCCGTGTCTCCTACACCCCCCGTGTCTCCTACACCCCTCGTGTCTCCTACACCCCCCGTGTCTCCTACACCCCCCGTGTCTCCTACACCCCCGTGTCTCTTACACCCCCGTGTCTCCTACATCCCCCGTGTCTCTTACACCCCCGTGTCTCCTACACCCCCGTGTCTCCTACACCCCCGTGTCTCTTACACCCCCCGTATCTCCTACAACCCTGTGTCTCCTACACCCCCCGTGTCTTACACCCCTCGTGTCTCTTACACCCCCCGTGTCTCCTACACCCCCCCGTGTCTCCTACACCCCCGTGTCTCCTACACCCCCCGTGTCTCCTACACCCCCGTTTCTCCTACACCCCCGTGTCTCCTACACCCCCGTGTCTCCTACACCCCCCGTGTCTCCTACACCCCCGTTTCTCCTACACCCCCGTGTCTCCTACACCCCCCGTATCTCCTACACCCCTGTGTCTCCTACACCCCCCGTGTCTCCTACACTCCCCCGTGTCTCCTACACCCCCGTGTCTCCTACACCCCCGTGTCTCCTACACCCCCGTGTCTCCTACACCCCCGTGTCTCCTACACCCCCGTGTCTCCTACACCCCCCGTGTCTCCTACACCCCCCGTGTCTCCTACACCCCCCGTGTCTCCTACACCCCCCGTGTCTCCTTCACCCCCCGTGTCTCCTACACCCCCGTGTCTCCTACACCCCCCGTGTCTCCTATGCCACCGTGTCTCCTGCACCCCCCGTGTCTCCTATGCCACCGTGTCTCCTACACCCCTCGTGTCTCCTACACCCCTCGTGTCTCCTACACCCCCCGTGTCTCCTACACCCCCCGTGTCTCCTATACCCCCCGTGTCTCCTACACCCCCCGTGTCTCCTACACCCCCGTGTCTCCTACCCCCCGTGTCTCCTACACCCCCCGTGTGTCCTACACCCCCCGTGTCTCCTACACCCCTCGTGTCTCCTACACCCCCCGTGTCTCCTACACCCCCGTGTCTCCTACACCCCCGTGTCTCCTACACCCCCGTGTCTCCTACACCCCCCGTGCCTCCTACACCACCGTGTCTCCTACACCCCCCGTGTCTCATACACCCCCGTGTCTCCTACACCCCCGTGTCTCCTACACCCCCCGTGTCTCCTACCCCCCGTGTCTCCTACACCCCCCGTGTGTCCTACAC